TTGACCTTTATCTCTCTGTATCTCAGTTCCCCACTTGTAAAGCAGGGATAATAACACCCTCACCTCACAGACGTGTTATGAAGACAAATTAATTAATATTTTTGAAGCAGTCAGATACTCTAGTGACTGGAACAAGAGATAATCCTGTGAGGAAATTGATAATTCTGTCTTCAGAGCAGGGTTTCAATATTGTGCTTTAATTAAGGTCTGGGGCCATACATTGAACAATGAGGCTAAAATAAAATATTGAATAACAGCTGATTAATTGCGCATCTTGTGCACTGCATGAGGCAGGAAAAACTAGTATGTGAACATATAACTAAAGACTGTATCATAAAACATATGCCCATGAGGGCTGAATTAAGATTGCACAGGCAACGTTACGTCCTAAATTCTGAGTGGCTGACTTTGCAATCTTAACAATGTTCTTTTAATAAGGTTTTTGTGTATCTATTGTTATCTCTAGGTTGCCTATCAAATCTTTAAATCCAAGCTAAATCAAACAATCAACTGTCAACTATTTTAGCACTATATATATGCAGAGGTTTTAACTATTTAATTAATTTAAGTATTTGATAGTAGCAATAAAAGAGGCAGAAAATTATGAGGGTACTCTACCTGATATGATGCCCAATCCTGGAAAAAGTGATGTGTATGAGCATCTTTACTTGTGCAAGTCGTGTCGTTGGTATCAATGACACTGTTAACATAACTTTATGCAAGTGCATACGTGTTTGTGGGATTTGCTCCACATAACTCTTTGCAGGTGAACAAAATCAGTTTGACATAGCAAAATGTGCCTTTTATGATTCAATCAAACTGACATTTGTATAATACCCTTCATAAAATGTATTCCACACTATTTTACAGAATAGAAAAGTCAAACTTAAGAGTTAAAGTAATTAAGACCAAACAGCTAAATCGTTAGCTCATATCTAAATACTGAGCCTGTGTCAAGAGTCATGAATCACCAAAGGAAAGAAGTTCCACCTATAAGGTATGCTGTTGTTAAAAGCTGTCAGCACAAAGTTATTGCCTCAATAGATGGGAATTGTGACAGACTAACAATATCCTGTAATATCCTGGACAAACCTTATGGAATTAAGAGAAAATGTATTGAATTAAATTAATCCTTACTGAATTAGGTTTAATATCATTGAGGTCCATTGTATTAAAAATGCAATTTTTGTGTGTGGTGTTATGGAATTGTATGTACCTTCTCTATTAGTAGGCAGATGCTAATGTAACTCCTTCATTAACTACCCTGTGAAGATTACCCCCTGGAAAGGTACACATATACTAGTTCAGACTGGATTCTGCAAGGACCAACATACAAAGAAAGGATTTTTTTGTTAAATAGTCTGGTTTTAAACTGGCTCGGTGCCTTCTTCCTGATCCAGCAAATGGACAGGATCCCTGGTCCACGGTGAGTCCCAATCCTTAATGGGGGGTTGGAAGGACTTGGCCTATTGAGATCCATAACACTGGATGCTAATTCTGAGTTGAGAATCTTATGAACTTGTGATCACAGAAGAGAATCTTTTTGTGGGGTTTTGAAGGCCTGCTCTTACCAGAGCCCATGTTAGAGTTGGGGTGATGTCTGGTAAGCTTATTAGCATGTGTGTAGGTTCTTTTATTGTTCTTAATCAGTTTTCTGAACAGTGCTTTTACCTTAAAAATAAAATAGGCTTGCATAAAAAGAGCTGTGTGGCATCTATAAACATGGGCTATCACACTATTAACAATCTCTGAAGTGAAAGCAAGCAGGTGTGCTTGGGCAACCTGTCTCTGCTGGGAATAACATAGTGAAAGCAGGGAACTGTGTAGCCCGGAAACACCCTAGTCAAAAGGGACCAAGATGTGGGTCTCTCTCCACCCAAGAAAGGCAACAGCTGGGATGCTGGAAGCCTGGGATTGGGTGCCCTTAATGGACCACTGAGGGGAAATACAGTTTCGGTTGCCCTGAACAGTGGCAGGAATTCCAATAAACTGTCTGAGCATGAGCATGCAGATCAGATCAGAACCCAAGGAAAGACATGAATAAAATTCATACTCACAGAAAGTGGAATCATACATTTAGGCCCTCCCATAAAAACACTGCCTTCCTATACCTGTTACAGTGTTTGATTACATGCCCCAGGAACTCACATTATTCCATATTGTGTTTATGTTAAGAACATATCACCCATCAGCAAAAATAAATTCTACAATTCGTTCATGCTTATGAGGTATTTATTTAAAATTTCAAACATTAAAATATGTCTTAAAATTACTGTTATGAAAAAGCTAACCTTCATCCAATTAATGCAAAATTATTTCCTTTCTTTTCTTGAAAGGATTTTTACTGTATATACTGTGGATTTATATTTCCTATAAGACAGATATACCATCATACTAAAGTACACCATTTTAGGAATAACTTACGTTATCTTCAGTTTATCATAATATCAAAAGGTATACCAACAATTTCAATGTATGAATGGAATCTGAAATCTTACAGGACTTCCAGTTTGTAGTAAACAAGTTTGCTGTTTCAGTTCCCAGAATAAAAAGTATTTGAAGTGTTACAGCAGTCTTAAACCACATATCAAAATATGGGAAACCAGAGCTGCAAGACTTGAACAATTTCATACTCAGTGGGCCGAACACATTGGTATATGGTTAGCAGCTTTGCACTTGTGCCATAGACCTAGATAGAATCAGGCTGTCATTCAACAATGAACCATGGATCATATATCTTACAGAAACAATGATGTAAACAAGCAGTGAAGTTGATACTACATTTCAGCAAGCATAGTTACTATAGAAAGCAAAACAAAAGTGGTCAGGGCATAGAGAAGATTGTTGGCAGCACACGGTAGCTATCAAGTCAGGTGTTAAACAGTAAGATGAAATATCAGTTTTTTTGAATGTAGAAGTATACTTGACTCACTGTGCCGAACAGTACATGTCAGAAGGATAAAGATGATGATGCTCTATTACAGAAAAACAAATATTTCAATACTTTATACCCTCACATCATGGTATTGAAAACTGAAATAGTTAAATTGAAATTATCCTGTATTGTAAAACTATTTTAATCAATACATTTTTCTTTTTGAAAAACAGGTTGTTTTCTTTTTTACCAATAAAACTGTTTTCCCTTCTTTAATCTAACCATTTTAACTACTCAAAAAATTAATATATGAGTTTAACAAAATAATAGCAATAATAGATGGCTTTGTATGTTACTGAAGTAACAATGAATCTAAACATAAAACCAATGCAGTCTGAAAACGTAAGAACACACATAAACCATTAAACACAACTCATGTCAGAAAATACATATCTAATTATCATACCTATCCTCATGGATAAAGCAATTCCATTCAAATTCAGTAGGCTGGAAAGTATTTTTTCTTTGGTCAATATGCAGCATCTCTTAGGATCCTTAAATCAATGATGCGCCCAACAATAAATGTGTGCATAGAAAATGTATATGAACTATAAATGCATTTATTATGAAGTGCTGATGGTTTTCCTTATATATACATTGCAAATATTTGTATCTTTAATTCTATGTTAAACACCCAACTCATTCTGAATAATAATTTCCAAAGTACATAAAATTTCAGCACCAGTGATCTCCCCTTTAACAAAGTACTCTAACTCATGCCTTGGATGGTCCACATTTGTTTAAACAAGGTAGCTACTGTGAAATGAACTACACTAATTGATAAAAAATGTTAAAAGCCTTTTTCAAGTAAATTAAATATATTTTTGGTCCCCAGGTGAAAGCTTTGACATTCTCTAGAGTGGCATCTGTCAAATGAAGTTTGATCTTCAATCATGTGAATCCCAGAGAACTTATACAATGTTGTCTCTGCACATAATAAGATATTTAACATATGTGTTATTTGCAATACAGCAAACAGAATACCAGGACTTGCCTTTCTGTTTATAAATAAAACTGAGGAAAAAGTAAATATAGAGCAAAAGAAATGCAATGAAAGTTACTAATGTAATGAGTAAAGTAGGGGAGACAGACACTGATGCAGTGTTGATGGACCTCAGGGATCTACTCTTCAGTTTCACTTGCCTCAAAAAGTCTTGTCCCCTCTACACTGAATGTTAATTACACTCCACTCTTTTAATGACTATACTATTAATTTAACTTTTCACTTCGTTTTACCCTAAGAAGTTAGAAAAATAACTGAATAACTGGGGGAGGGGGGGGCGGGATGGGGATCTGAAAAACACATGCCTGAAATCACCTTTCTCACTGTCTTAACTTGTAGTTTCTCAGGTATCTCCTTTGCTCTTTAAGCTGGACAGTTCACCATTTTAAAGGTAGGTTCTCATTGTCCTAAATACTATATTGTCTCTGAACTTGCCTATGCAATGTAAAGGAAATTGATTTGAGGAGAGAGAAAATGCTGAGCCACCATCTTTTAATATTTAGGTAACAATTTTGAAAAAAAAAAGTGCCACATCTTCAGGTAATCTTTTTCTATCAAATTTTAGGTTTTTGATGCTTTTAGTAAGTCTTTTCCATTTAAAACATCCACAGTGACATTTTTAGTAAACTTTTTTTTTCAAGTTACCATTTTTTCCCCTAATGTGTAATAGCTAGTCAGTTGGTTTTGATTAGCACTTGTCATGACACCAGCAATTTACGGGAGGGAAGAATAGCAGACATGTCCTGCCCATTGCTGTAAAGAGCTAGAGGAAGGTCGAGAGTACACCTAGAAGCCAAACACCCCTCCCCGTGCAATCCTGGTGGCAATGACCTAAGTCCCCAGGCTGATGAGCCTTGTGGAGCTGAGCTTCCTCCTGCCGGGACGACCCACTTGCTAGCCCAACTAAAGTTGGTCACAACAACCCAACCAACAAGAACCCTCCAAAGTTGAGGCTGGCTTGGCCGTGAACACGGACACAGTCTGGGGAGCATCAAACCTCAGATCTCCTCTCCCCCTTAACCTCACCCCCACAGATGGGCTGCGCCGCGCGGGTCACTGTACCTGTGTCCACATCCTTCACCTGTTGCTTGGCTGCTACAGTCCGCCGGCTCCTCCTTCATCTCCTGCAGCACCAGCGACTTCTCCTGCTCTCGGGTAAGCTCCATCCCGCCGCGCACCTCCTCCTCCTCCAGGGTCTCCACATAGAAGACGGTCCTGGGCGACGGCCGCTGCCCCAGCCCATGCCTGGTGGCGGGCAGCAGGGTCCCGTTCAGCGGGCTGGAGGAAGAGGATTTCTTCCAGAAGGCGCTGCTGCCCCTCTCCTGGTTCTTCAGCAGGCGGCTCTGGCTCGGCCCCCAGTGCTCGAAGCTGCCGTCCGGCTGCAAGCAGCCGCCCCCCACCGGCCCGGCCGGCGCCGACGGGTGGCTGAATAGTTTCCAGCGAAGGCGCAAGATGTGCTTCACGTCAAAGTCCTTCCTGCCCGAGCCTGACATGCTGCTGCTGCTTTGGGCAAGCGGGGAAGAGAGAGAGGGGATAAGAGCACCGCGCGGGAAGGGGGCTGCAGCCGGGGAGGCACGAGCGGCGCGACGCGCAGCCTGACACTGCAAAATGGCCCAGGCAGGAGGGCGCCCGCTGAGCTGCTGCGCCCAGCCCCGCGCGCGCGCGGCGATGGCCCCCCGGCAGCGGCGGAAAGTCCCGGCTCAGCAGCCCCAGCCTCTCCAAGCACAGCTGGGCATGCTGAGGGGCCCTGCCGAAAGCAGTGGCGCGGGGCGGGAGACACACGCAGGGAGGACGGAGAATGGAGAGGCGCACCGAGCTGGAGAGCGATAAAGGAAAAGCGGGGGAGAGAGGCAGAGGCAGCTCTCAGGAAAGAGAGAGACTTGCAAAGGAGAGGGGATGAGGGAGGCTGCTCAAGAAGCACTAATCTGATTCACAGACACAAGCCGAGAGCGGGCTCAGCAGCCGCCGCCAGGGTATAACGCCGTGGGGCTCTTCCTCCGCCTCGCATTGCTCAGTGACAGAGTAGAAGGAGAGAATAAAGTCACCCACCCACCCTCAGTCTCTCAGGGGATTCCCCTGGTTGCAGTTATCTGGGCAAGCAAAGCCTGGGAGCTGGCGAAAGGAGCAAGCGGGGCTTCTTTTATATACATCACGAGGCGGGGGGACACCAGCTCCCCGCCTGTGAAGCTGTCAAGGTCCTCACTGTACAATTTTCCATCTGCCTCCTCAGCGCCTGCCTCCGAGCCGCCCCCTCCCCTGTAGGTGACGCAGATGTGCACTGGAGCCCTCAGAGAGTCAGATGCATGCTTCAATCTTCCTCAGGCAAGTAAGTCTGTAGGTCTAACTGTCGCCGTACCCCCTCTTGCCCGTGCAGGTCTTTTGATTTTGGTGCTGAGACCGCTGCATGGCCCTGAGAGTAAAAGGACGTCAACAAATGCAGCAGCAGCAGTAAACAAAAGAGCATGAATCACAAGAGTGTGCAAACTTCATAGACTGTGATCAGGTTGCAGGTTAAGGACTAGCTGCCTTCATTAGCCTCCTGCCTTTGTGTTCTTGTAGTAGTAGAAAATACTAGATAGAGGGCCACCACACATCTAATTCTTACCCTTTGTCTCTGCCATTAATGCAGTCAGACAGTACGCCCAAGGGATGTTCAGTCACAGCAGAGAAATTTGCTTAGGGGTAGGTAAGCATTTGGGAGGGGTGTTGTAAAGGCCATTGTGCAAGTGGGACATAATCAGAGAATGAAAGATTTCATGGTGACAAGGCAAGGAGAGGAATACAGTGGCAAAACTGTATTGGATGTCCTCACCTTCTAGCTCATAAATCATCATATGCATGATGGAAGGCTGTAGTAGGCATTACAATGATACACACTGCATTTGCAAATCACTTCCTTGTCTGAAATTAGTTGTTTGGAGGAGGAAAGCGAGCTTTTCTCATTAAAAAATTGATAATAAGCTCATGTCTTCCTCAGGATACTTCACTATTTTTACCTTGCTTTAGTGAGCCATCAAAAGAGTGTTACACCAAGCCATTCGTGAATGCAAGTGGAAGAAGGTGAGAGATGATTTCCCTAACGCAATAAGAGACAGCTTGAATAATCGTCGAGAAGAGTACAGAAGTCAAACATTAGCAGTTCTATTACCGTTCTTTAATATCATTATTGAGCTAGTGAAATCTAGTTATAAGTCAATATTAGAGTTTGTATTCTAGCCTAGACAGTTATGTATTTCAATAGAACAAGAAATTCAGGACACAAAGCCCTACTTTCAATGGAAGAAAAATCACTACTGTGCATTTTAAATATTGATTTATGCAATGACAGCTGAACTGCAAAGTCCCCTGTGCATTGATTTTGCTCTCAGTATTCAGTGATAAAAAAAAGATTTAAAAACCCTTTAAAGAGAACAGCAAAGACTGCTCATTTTTATCAAAAACTTAACTGTGTAAATGTGTCCCATTTGGGAGATTAGTGAAGGAAAGTGTAAACCAAAAACAGGGCAGAAAAAACGTTGTCACTTTAGAAACTTGAACGTCACACCTTATTGTGTCAAAACTATTTGTGAAGACACCAGTGTTAAATGTATGTTCCCCATATAGCCTCAACATGTGGTAACATGCCATAGAAGATTGAAATATAAATGTGCAGTTAGTTTCAGATATTTTTCTGTATTTAACCCTTTTTAAAAATATTCTCTAAAGTTTGAAAAAAATCACTCTTGAGCTGAGTAGGATTGTATGTCACCAAATATGTTACAAAGTTCAGTGACAGGAATTTGGCATCTGGTAATTAATATCTATTTGATTGTTGTGATGTAAACAGTTGATGTGTTTTAAAACATTACCTTCTCAACTCGACTGTAATATTTTTTTATATGGTTATTACTTTTGGATACCTCAATAAATATATTTAAGATAGCATATTTAAACAAAACTAGCCAAATTTTCAGATGTTATTCTAACTAGTGCTTACTATCTAACTAACTAAAGCATAACTCGACAAAAAAAATTGATTTAGCCAACAAATTTTATCAGTGTTTGAATAAAATTATGTGAAAAATTCTAAAGAAATTTTTAAGCAAAGTGTATGCTCTCACTGACTTTGAACTCTAGTGAAATATGAAGTTCTTGCAATTTTTTCTTTCTTGTAACTAAATCATCAATATTTTGCTTACAGAATTGGATGGTAGCTTTAATGTTAGTTGAATCATCTGCTCATCAAGACACAAGTGTTGGCTGCAAATCAGGATGTGTTGCCTTTTGTCTTGGTATCTAATAGCATATAGTTCACCATACAGATCAGTGTGTATTTCAAATATGAAAACACATTTTTACCATGTAGATGTGGAAATCCCCGACAGGCTTGCTACTTTGCTCCATATTCATCAATGTAAAAATTATCTCTATCACTATGTAGTAAGCAAGAACAACAACAAAGAAGTAGCTCATGTCATAATACAGTAACAAGTTGATTTCTTAGCACAAAGTATAACAACTACCTTAGAAAAGTTTGCTTTACTTATGTTTTTGAGTTTTTGCTGTTTTTGCTTCTGCTGCACCAAAATTGTACCTTTAGAAACTGTCATGCGGGGTGGGGGGAGGACACATTGTACATCCTCATATGGCAAGATGACTACAAATACATTTAAAATATATTTGTGTAGATGAAACTACTGGGCAGAAAATAACTTATAACAACCAGTTATTCTGTAGACTTAGTGTTGTAAGGAGGAAACCTACCAAAAAGTAAAAGGTGAGGAATATAGTTATGTTCTGTTCCAGAGACCTAGAGATATGATACCAGGGATGTATAATAGGAGTCTTCACATATTAAAAAAGTCAGACATGCTTTACATTGACCATACATAGTTTTGCTGATGAACAAAAGAAGCAAGAAAAGACAGGGATGCCTGTTATTGAAGGAAAGCATCTTTTTGCCTAATACACCAGAGAAATTGTTCAAGAACAGTTCATCCTTGCAAAAACATGCACCATGAAAAGCTCACAAGGTCATTGTAAGCTTCAATTATCAGCCAGGTATTGTAAATGTTGGCTGTGCAAGTTTAACATGCATATGTTATGTTTTTCATTCATTAAACCACATCTGTACTTGATTATCCCAGTGCCATTAAATTAGTTCGTCTTCTCTACCCTTTCTGGCTTACACATAACCACACATGTTGGATGAGTATCCCAGGCCTCAAATACGCCTTGTTAATTCACACCATTTTAATTTAGTTTACATGGAAGTGGCACATAGCTAATTTTTTCATGCATATTGCATGAAAATATATGATAAAAGGGTCAAGACTTAGAGCTCTTTTGCATTCAGATTCATACTATCTTCTATTTTCTGTCTTTCTATCCAAGTGTTGTGCTGGTGAATTAAATCAGCATGACAGGGTCCCTCATGGAATCTTGTGCATGTGTTCCTTCCGTGTTTATAGAAACTCTACCTAGGTAGATGTATTCTTTTCATAACTCATTCCACTTATGGTGGGAAGGTATTATCAGAGAGGGTTATACTGGATTGACTTCATCTCTTCTGGGAGTTCATTCCACTATAAACCCCCTTGACTGTGTCTGTGAATTATTTATTTCTAGGTTTGATGTGCTTCATCTTGGGCTTTACCGGTTGTATTGTCCTAGATGAGTGCATCTGTTATGGTAGGTCATGAACCAAGGCTGTAAACGGCAACTGAAGCAGACTGTGAACCAGTGGAGGGATCGTAGCACAGGGCGATGTGTTCACAATAGAACATCTCACTGAGCATATGTGCAGTTATATTGTGTATGAGTCTCTGCATTGCAGTCACATTCAATCTCAGATATAGTGAGTTGCAGCTATTTGTTCTGGAGGTGTTGAACACGTGGATCACTGTGGCTAGATCCTTATCGGGGAGGAAGAGGTGATGTTTCCTAGCAAGCTGCAGATGGAAGATATTTTTTAGCCACTGATATTACATGATATTGGAGTCTTAGTTTTGAATCTAGCAGTACTCCATGGCTTCTTGTTATTTTGATAAACAGCAGTCGGAGGCCTTTGAAGGTGGAGTGGAAAGGGGACATTGTGTTGGCTACAATAGAGCAGGCTAGATTAAATGGCACCCAAAGAAATCTCTGCCAGGGAGGTTATATCAGGTACCTCATCCAAAATGAAATCATGAAGAATGTTGATTTTGTTAATGGCTGACCTTGCATTCAACAGCAAGAACGTGAGGCGGTGTAATGGGGTTGGCATCTGCCTCTTGTGTGTGCCCCCTTTTCCCTGGCCAATAGTGCCTGCAAACACAGTCTTTTCATGGGGTAGGGGGAGTACCCACCTCTCATGGATGGCCCCCTTTCTCTCGATTAGATGTGAGCCCGCTTTTCTTTTTTGGTCTTATATCAGGGTGGTGCCTGCCTCTCACAAGCACCCCCCAGCCGCTGGTTCTCTCGGCTGCTCTTCGGCAGTTCAGCCCTCCGGCCGAGCTGCACGTGCTGTCTCCCC